TCTATTGAATTCAACATGCTTAAGAAACAAAACTGTCATGTAAAGTGAAAAGTTTAATTGAGAAGACAGTTTTGGTGACAGATGTTACCATATTCACTGACTTTCCGACTTCGTTGAGTTCAGGCGTGTTTCTTTTAATTCTTTCAACGTTCTGATTTGATTGAAAGCGGATTTACGTGTTGGATGTTTCAGAAATTCCAGTCATGTGTATAAATTATATCATCATACGTATTCTCCTGGACGTTGAAACAGAGTTCCTGCCAGGTGTGTTATCTATAATTGTCCTTCCAATGTACTTTTGAGTATATTATAGCTCATTTTAAAACGATACAAACCCCATTACCCGAGCGCTTTCGAAAGGTGGATTTTTCTTCTTCGGTGATACCCCTGCTTACCCCTGAAGAAGAAAGGTCTACCTTTCAAAAGCACTTGGGTTATAAGGTTTTTATCGTTGTATATGAAGACTTCTTGAACCTACGTGTTTTTCTGACATCATGAATTATATCTCATTTTATTAATCCTATCATCATAGACTGTGTTCATCGTTTTTTCAAGAGAGATCTTCAGTGCTGAAGATCATGGACTGTGTTCATCGTTTTTTCAAGAGAGATCTTCAGTGCTGAAGATCATGGACTGTGTTCATCGTTTTTTCAAGAGAGACCTTCAGTGCTGAAGATCGTGGACTGTGTTCATCGTTTTTTCAAGAGAGATATTCAGTGCTGAAGGGCCAGATTTAGCTTCTTATTTCACGGTTAAATCCAAAATAACAGGTTTCAATCCACGTTATTCAACGTTATTCAATGTACGATATATTCATTTCTATTTATCCTCAGTAGTTTAAATAAAGTCGAGGCCTATTTTCTATGCTATCTCCAAAGTTTATTTACATTTATATATATTACTCTAAAAATTATCCATCATGTATGTGTATGTGTGTGTGTTAGTATCCATCACCCAGAGTTGGCTAGCTTGATTGCTATAATTTTTGGTATTGTAATTGAAACTATCCGACAGTGTTCACGAGATACTTTGTTTTAGGATTTTTACCCGAGAAGAGGGATAAAACAATAGCCTGAAATAGGGCACATTTCCACCTTTTTTTATACACTTTTGGCTTTGAATTTAAAGACACGAGTACTTAATCAGTTAAATGAGTCAATTAATATCTTCCACAAAGCAGGGTATGTATTTAAAATGTAATGAGGTCATACACTTTAATAACTAAAAAGAAGGAAAGGGAACATTATCCTTTAGACAATTTTTGCTTCTTTAACGGATGTAGTCTTACTGTAAAAATGACCCATTATGTGTTGACTGGTTCGATTACCGTAATTTTTTATAACGGTAACTGGAAATTCTTCAGCGGTATACACGAGGTTTTTGTTTTAAGATTTGCTGGAAAAGAGAGATAAAAACATTCTGAAATAGGGCACATTTCCACTCTTCTTACAGACTTTTGGTTTTGAATTTAAAAGCACAAATATTTAATCAGTTGCCCCGGCATGGGCAGGTGGTTGGGGTATTCGACTCGCAATCTGTGGGTCGCGGGTTCGAATCTCCGTCACACCAAACATGCTCGTCCAATCAGCCGTGGGGCATTATAATGTGACGTTCAATCCCACTATTCGTTGGTAAAATAGTAGTCCAAGAGTTGGCGGTGGGTGGTGATGACTAGCTGCCTTCCCTCTATTTTTACACTGCTAAATTAGGGACGGCTAGCGTGTAGCTTTGCGCGAAATCCATAACAAACAAACAAACATTTCATCAGTTAAATGAGCCAATTATTACCTTCCACAAAGCAAGGTATGCAATTACGAAGTGAGGAGATCGTTAAGTATTTAATAACAAAATAAAGAATGAAGGGGAACATTATCTAACATTGTCCTTTATATAAGTTGCTTTATTAACGGGTACCATCAGCTAGTTCATGTAAAACAACCGTAGACCAGAAATGTATCAGTCTTATTACTTCGCACTATCTTGAATTTGAAAGACATGCGTGAAGAAGTAAAGAAACACACACAAAAGATTTCTAATATCAACTTTGTTTGTGTTATATATATATATTTACCTTTTAATATTTCATCGGAAATACCATGTAATAAAAATTTTGTTCGTCAAATATGGTAATAACACTACGGAACCATTGTTATCATTTATATTTTCTGATCAAAATTCCAATAGCAGCATTTAGATTAAAAGACTAATTAAAAGAGAGGTCAAAACTACCTTACATTTTTCACTGATATTCGTAAGAAATTCAATTAGCTTTTAATGAAGTTATTAGTTGAAATGTGACGGTTTTGTTATAGAATACGTGTTGTTAAATACTCTGTTAATAAATATAAACGAAGAATTTCAACGTTGAAAAACGAAATTTTATTGCCTTTTTTTTTCAATTTGTTTAACTGTTTGTTTTTAGCCAACACATATATGATTGTGAAATGCTTGATAAATTTGATTTTTCAAATCCATATTCTGTCTAATACTTACTAGTAGCGAATACAGTTTAACTTTTCTATATTACTATATATGAATTAGGTTACAGCTAAAAGCAAAACAAGTAAATGAAATGTGCATACAAAGCTTAGGGTTAAGAGCATTAGTTAAGATAACGACATCAATACCACACACACCAATACATAAAACATGGCAGTGATTTTAAGTACATTTTCGTGATCGAGTTACAAAAAAAAATCTTTTCAGCTTTTAACTTTCACATCTTAACAACGGACAAAGACTACACTGACTTACCCATTATTTGAGAGTAAACAAAGTGATGTTTAAATGTGCCAAAGCCGAAAATACTAATGGTATTATTTCAGAATGCCAAAGCACTTCTCAAAGGTTATAGCACTTTCAGAATACCCGTCTTTTAGGGCTTTTTACTATAACCAAATATCTCCTTAGTTCTGCTTGTACACAGCCTCGCACTAAGATGTACCAAATGTCTCAGTTTCCTTGTTATACCAATGAAAACACATGTTATAGTCCGTCAACTTTTTAAAATCAAATAGGCTTAAAAATTTACCATTCAGAATTTAGCTTTCTAAAACCAAAATACGAAAAAAAAAAATTTAAAGGCAACTCGGACATCAACCCTAATTTTCTAGTTTTATTTATAAATGTGTATATAGGTGCATAGCCAGAAGAGAGGGGTAACCCCACCCAATTTTGTAAAAATAATCTAAAAGGTCCACTGTCTTTTGAAATTTTTAAAGTATATATTTAACTCTCTTAAGTTCTGAATACTTTCGTTCTCCAAGTTTCATTTAGGCTAAGGTAAATCACTTAAATTATTTGTTTAGAAGAAAAAGATCCCATTTTCTTATATACCCCCCCCCACTCTGTAGCGGTAGCTACGCTTCTGGTGTATCTAAGAAAAACCATTGTTCCAGTGAAGAATGTTTGTTGTCAGGTGTAAGAATTAAAACAAAATCCAAAGCATTGGATAGAAGATCCTGGAAAGTAATTTAAGACGTATAACTAGAATCTGGTTTTACATTATATGACTGAGCTCTTCTTTAAAAGCACCCCCCCCCCCACCACACACACACACAGTGGCACA